CGGGTGAGGAAGGGGCACAGTGCCCATCCCAGGGTGGGGATGGAGCCAGGCGGAGGAGGAGGGCCAGGCTGGGGGAGTAGGAGCTGAGGATGGAGCTGGGAACAACAGGCTGCCCCAGGGGAAAGGTTTGGGAATGGGTAGCAAGACCATGGTGAGCTGCTTGGGGTGGCTCTTCATGCACGTCACCGCTTGCCTGATACTGCAGCTGCTCCCTGGCCTGGTGGTGGGGACTGGCCAGCATCCCCCGAATCCTTGCCGACAGCACTGTCCCCCTTTCCCATCCCTCCCTGGCACTGCTGTCACAGGGGAAGGCTTTTCCATTCAGAGGGACGGTATCTCTCTGTGCCTCCAGCTTAATTTAGGGATGGGGTTTGGGTGGTTGCTCTTTGGCCACCTTTCCACTGGGGCGTTATAGCTCAGAAATACCAAAATGTCATGTTTCTGCCACCCATCCAGGAACTATTTTAGGCCATTAGATATTGTCTTGTTCACCTGTATGTTATGGAACAAAAGAGGATGGGAGATTAAACAGTTCACTTTGGCTTCAGCAAAACATTTGGGTTCAAGCAAAAACGATGGGATTTGGGGATGTTTCCAGCAAATCCAGTTCTTCCACCCCAACTTTCCGCATTTCAGCTTCTGAACTTACCTGCATGTTCCTGGCTTGGTAGGATCATCTCAGCCCTGGCCAGGCTTTGCTCCTCTTGGAGGTGGCTTGGTCGCTGAAGGGCTGCAGGGCCCGGCCCTGCCCGTAGCAAAGGCTGCCTGTGTTGCTGTACACACGGTGCCGTGGGGACACCAAACCCATGCCCCCGTGCTCCCAGAGATGCCATCTTGTTCAAAGCCCAGGGCGTCCAGTGTGCAGGCACTCGGGGCATGCTTACACTGCTGGTGGTGCTGTGCCTTCAAGGAGAGGGAGCAGAGCCAAAATTGGGGAATTCTCCATTTCTACTTCTCTGGCATGAGGACTGGGTTGTTCTGCAAGCGCAGGGAAGGGAACTGCATCTGTGTCTTAAATAGGCATTGGGTATGGAAGAAACTTGTGCATACGCCCTAGTGGCAGGGGAAGAGCTGGAAATAGGACTTACATCTTCCAACATGCTCAAGCACATTCCTCCTCCTGGGCCAACGCATGCCAGAGAGAGTGCGTCGCGCAGTGGGGGTCTCTCCCACATTGGTGCCCTGGAAGGGGAGTGTGGAAGGGAGAGGTGGGTGTCCCACCAGGAAGGCTGGAGGTGCAGGTGGTCCTGATCTGCACAGGACAAATGATCCAGGGCATCAGGTTTCCCCAGCGCCTCTCTCGGCTGTATTTATACCCAGACGCACCTGGCTGCCCTTGTTGGGGGATCAGGGGTTGCAAGGCGTGACAGGGTCGCTCCAGTTCCTGCAGGCTGTTAGGGGCTTCAGCGCCAGGCCGGTTGCCAAGGGGAGATTAGCTGTGACCATTTTCTGTGGGGATACCTGGCGTCTGGTTCAGTATGACAGCACACATTCCTGTTCCCTGGGCCCATCTCTGCTGTGCAGCTTCTGCTGTCAGCGCACAAAGCTGAGCCACAGGATTGGGTCGGGGTCTTTTCCAGGCAGTTGGAGAGTGGGGAGCGTCCCTGCACTCAGCCTAGGGTGGGTGAAATTCAGGCTGGCTTGAGGCAGAGGGGTTCTGATGCTGAAGTTTGCTCACATCTCAAAAAACATGCTTGTTAGCACAAGGAAATCTAGGTACTCTGCAAATTGCTGTGCATTGTGTGCTCGACAGCCAGCCCAGCAAGTTGATGTTTGCTGGGACACGTCTGGCTTTGTGGTGTCACGCTGATACTCCAGCTTCGTTTTGCAGCCAGGAGGACTTCAAGGCAGATGGATGAGGAGTCTGGCGACCCTGCAGCGTAGAGCTGTAGGGCACTAAGGGCCTAATTCCTGCGGCAAGGCAGATGCTGGGCCCCTTGGATGCTGTGTGACAGGAGGCTGCTGGAGAGAAAGAAGTGAGATTGCAGGACAAGGGGATGAGGAGACTGTTGAGGTTCTGGCTCCATGGCAGGAGGCAGAGGCACCGTGTCCAGTGACACTACATGCCTCTTTTTGGGTTCAGTCTGTCCCACTGCATTTCTACCTAATAACTATGCCAGACTTGCAAGCAGCAAGCTGATTCCAGCTCCAGTTACAAGATGGGTCAGCCTTCAGGGAGGAGGAAAGAGCTACGTGGCTGTTTTCCCAGAGCAGGAGGATGGGCAAACCTTTCCCTTCTGCCTGTCAGTGGCCAATGTGGCAGGACCTAAGCCATGATTCCTGCTCCTCTTTCCACAGCTCTCTCCAACTTGCTCCATGATGCTGAATGGTCCCTGCGCTCCCACACCATCGCAGCCACGTGGCGACTGGGATGAGTGTTGGCAACGTTCATCTGACCTGGTCAGAGCAGGCAGGGAAGCCTCTAACCCCCAGGCTCTGCCCCATTACATGGAACACAGAGGGGAACAGCTTTTCCAGCTGATTTCAGTTTTTAAAGTGGCATCAGGTGGATGGACCGAAGGGTCCAGAAAAGGCAAAATAACCTGTGATAAGGATAGGACACACCAACAGCACTCAGCCAGCTCAGCAGGCCAGTATGGAGAGGATGCTCCCTAGGTGCCCCTTGCCCTGGGATGCTGGATTGGAGTGGTATGGCCACCACAGCTCAAGGCAGGCGTCAGTGTAATTATCTGGAAAGCTGAGCTAATCAGTTGATTAACTGTGGTGTAGTTAAGCGTCAGTATGTCTGCAGGACCTCTCTGCTGGGGTGCTGAGTTTTGAGGGCTGTGCTGGGCTCTGTAGTGGCATCAGTCATAGAATCATAGAATAGAATCATAGAATCGTTTAGGTTGGAAAAGACCTTTGAGATCATCAAGTCCAACCGTTAACCTAGCACTGCCATCCCACCCCAAAGGTGCCCTAAGCACCTCATCTACCCTTCTTTTAAATCCCCCCAGGGCTGGGGACTCGACCCCTTCCGTGGACAGCCCCTTCCAGTGCCTGACAGCCCCAAGGGGAAAGAATTGTTCCCCATGGCCAACCTCGCCCTGCCCTGGCACAACTTGAGGCCGTTTCCCCTCGTCCCATCGCCCCTTCCCTGGGAGCAGAGCCCGACCCCCGGGCTCCCCCCTCCTCTCAGGCAGTTGTAGGGAGCGATGAGGGCTCCCCTCAGCCTCCTCTGCTCCAGGCTGAACACCCCCAGGTCCCTCAGTCTGCATGGCTGAGCCGTAGGTGTTCCCACAGAGCATGTTCCTGGGAACTTCCCCTTTGGAAGGTCTGCCTAGGTGAGATGGGGATTCTGGGAAATCCTGTCCTGTACTGGAACCTCTGTACCTGCTGGATGAGTTTTACCACTTTGCCCATGATGCCAGGTTGGTAGTTACAGGCGGGGATGGGGATGAGAGATCTCCAAATGGCTTATGGGGGTTGACGCTGGCTGTGGTCGTATGTATGGATAGGACAACGGGAAGGAGACAGGGCTAGAGGGGAGTGTGGTGATTTATGTCACTGTTTGTTGATTTACACTGTAGGTGGCTTTGGTCCAGTGGGCACCTGGACCAACATTTTCATTTCCTCCATCTGCTTTTAGTTTCAGTGGCTTCCAGGGGTACAGGCAAGGGAAGTGGATCAGGGACAACTGAGATGTACTCATCAAGAAACATCTTGGCCAGGAAACTTTGAGATTAGCATTGTGATCAAAAATGTTTCTTGTAGGTTTTTGTGTCTTGCTGTACCCAAGCTGTCTTCTGGCAGCATGAGGCCACCAGATGAGTGGAAAAGACCCCTTTGCTTGCTACGTGCATTGCATGGTGTGGCGGCTGGGCGCAAGCACTTCAGAGCTGCAGCAGGGCCTGGATGTGACCAGCACAGGGGCAGCAAAAGATGATGTCTGTCTTCTGACCAGATGTCTACTGCACTCCCAAGGTATCACAGGGTGACAGGTTTGAACCGTGCTGGGAGGAACAGAGAGTGGGGTCCCTGGCCATGGACAAGGTCCTGGAGCCAGAGCTTGAGCTCTTCTGGGGCTTCAGGAACATGATAGCTGAATCTTGACCCTGAGGGTTCAGTGGCCCAGCAGAGCAGTGACAGCAGCAGGAGCCTGGCAGTGACCAAGTGCCTGTCCTAGGTCCTTCGGGGGGGGAAATAGCAATTCACCCTGTTTGTTCAGAGATGTCATAGGGCCCAAACAGCACAATTACACCTTCTAGGGAGTAGGATGGAGCGCAGGCTGAGCACTCCAGTTACTCCCATCCCTCCTGGGCGCTGTCACAGGAGCACTGGGGCTGTAGGACACCCAGGCCTGTTAGCAGCTGGATGTTCTGCTAGGAGGCCCTGGCTGAGCTGTCTTGCCCCTAGATACCTTCTAGTCAGGGAGACACGGCCCGCCTGAGATCTGCTGCTCAGCAGCATCTCCCTCACAGACACTGAGTTCAGAGGGAGCCAGGGCCAGCACGCTCTGCAGGGTGATGCTTTGGTTAAGTGCCTATATTATGCAAGAAGGTCCTTACCCTTCAGGATGATTCACTGAAGGATGAGGAGGAGGAACCTACCACCTCTCCCATCCCCTTGTTATTCCTCCACTGCAGCCTTTTAATTTGTGCCCCCTGCCCATATGTCCTGCGCCAAAGCTTCCCCTCTCCAGTAGCCATCCCCTGTGTGTCCCAGCCTTGCATCTCATCCTGGCCCATTCCCTCCCTCCCCAGGGACCCAAGAAATGGGCAGCAACCAAGGATGTGCAGAGGGTGAGGTCTGACTGCTCTCTCTGGTTCTCTGCCCCAGTGGGAGATCGTTTCCCCACAGCCCATGGGGTTTCCACGCATACCCAGACAGGGCAGGGCTGTACCGGCTTTTTCATTCCTGTCTCCACTCCTTAACACTTCCTCTCAGACCCTTCGAGATCATCATCCTCCTGACCATCTTTGCCAACTGCGTTGCACTGGCCATCTACCTGCCGATGCCCGAGGATGACACCAACGTTGCCAACTCCAGCCTGGTAAGGCACAGCCCATCCCACTGTCCCCCCTCACGGGACGGCCAGGCACTCGGCTGCGAGGGCTCTCTGGAGCTGGTCTGCAGCGTGACATGGGTGCAAGGTGGTGATACCCCTGCTGCTGCCCATGGGGTGCAATCAGGCATCGTTGGTCCAGCGAGAGATGCTGCAAAGTCAGAGGGAGGCAGAGTGGTGGAGAAACGGCTGCAAAAGGGGTTTTCAGAGGGGCTGAAACCACCACTAGGTTGAGATCAAAGGGAGCAGATTGGTGTGGGAAGTACACAGGGAGGAAGAACTGATGCCCAAAAAAGAACACATTCCCTCCATTTTTTTATCATGACACTTCCAAGAGGAAACATCTCATTCCAGAAAGGCTGAAATGTTTTGTTTCAGCATTTTTGGAATAAAATTTTCTGACTTTTCATTTCAAAGCTATATTTGAATTTTGGTACTTTTTATTTAAGAGGGAAAAAAAAAATACATCTCTGTTAAGCAGAGAGATTGCTCCTTTCCAATTAGTTATTCCTTGGGGTTTTTTGCCTGGAATAAGATGTTTTGATGTGATCCAAATCAACAGTTAGCACTATTCTTGGTTTGCCACCCCTTTCCCTCTTCACATCCCCATGGCAGTTCAATCCACCATTGAGAGTCAAAGTCTGGTGACTAAATCAAAGCCTCTAAATGTGCCCTTTTTAAATGAGATGTTCTCTTCTGCTTATTCCAGGGCTCCTCTGTGCCGAGGTTGGGTGTCTTGCATGCAGGCATTGCTGGCAACTTGTGACTTAAAAAAGCACCTCTCTGTTTTTTGCCTGTTCCCTAGAGACTCTGCAGGGAAAAATGCTAAAGCAGTCAAAGAATCTGAGACACAAAACACAAAGTACACTTTTACTTGTGCAGTTTTTAGTACCAGGCTTTTAGTGGCACTGAAGGTAGCGTTTACTTCTTATTTCCTTGGCAAAAGAAGAAAAGGGGTCATTAGTGGCAATGTGTTACTATGTCTTTTAAAAATAAAGCCAAGATAGGTTTAATTCCCCACAGAGGAGGGGAATTAAAAATACCCCCTGTACTTTGGGATGCTCATTCAACCCCCCGGCGCGCCGTCTCGCCAGCTTTAATGCCTGGGAGCTGGGGGCAGAGTTAAGCTCAAGATATTGGTTTGGTTTCTTCCCTGGCCGAGGAGGCATAACAGGATTGGGAAGGCGCAATTATCTCAGCTGAGATATTAAAGAGGCAAAACAAAACTGGGTCAGGTTGAGCATGGAAAGCAGGAGGTGGGGACAGCGGGGATGGGGGCTTCCCGCTGGGAAGGGTTTTGGGACTTGGCTGAGAGGAAGACACCTGGGCAGGCAGAGCTGGAAAAGCCCAGCAGCATGGGGCAGTGTGGGATGACGGGGGGTGGGCAACCCGCCCGCAACCCGCCCGCTGGTGCCCCGGCGGGGGCTGCTGCTGCCCAAGAAGGACCAACAGCCTTTCCCATTAATCAGAGGCAAGCAGGCACAGAGTAAGTAATGTCATCTATAAATGAAACTTCATCTATTTGTATTTATTGTATATTAGATTACCTATGCTATATCCTATTGGGGGATTTTTCAGCCTGTGCCGTGCCAACAGCCCCTTGTAGCAGGAGCCTGGCAGCCCCAGGCCTCTGTTCTTTTGTCCCTGCTCTGTGTGTGCCCTTGTCATCATGTTCTAGTGGCTTTGTAGGAGCAATCCCAGTGGAGAGCTGAGCCAGACCCCTGTCACCTCCAGCATCAGGCTGTGATCTGCCTGGCGCCCGCGGGGAGTGCAGCAAAGGCCTGTTGGAAGTGTTTCCTCCTGCAGCACAGAGATGCTGCAATCTGCATTTAATCTCTGCCTGTCACTTTTTTTAATTGCCTCTTTTTATTGCCCTGTCCTCTCTGGAGAGGATGGAGTTTCTCTAACAAATTGTTGAGGAGGCAAAGTGTATGAGGGGAAACTGAGTCAGAGCAGCGAGGACATTGAGCCCCGTTACTTGTGGCTGGGGCTCAGCCTAGCGAGCTCACAGCTAACGGCCGTGCAGGAGCCTGTCCAGCCCAAGCTTCCTTTGGAGAAGCCTCCTGCATCCCAGGCACTTCACGCAGTGGAAGCCACTCTGCTCTAAAGCTGGGTCTCTCGGGCAAGGAGAGTCTCGGGAGGGGAGGATCTCCTGGGGGGCCTCTGTGGCCACCTTCTTCCTGCAAGGTTGGAAAACCCAGAGAGCAGCCGTGCTCGTGACTCTGCCTGTCCAGGACCACCCAGCTAAGATTTGCACACAGAGTTTACGCTAGATTTGGAATGAATCTCATGAAAGTTTTGTCAACCAGAGCTCGTTTCGGGGGATGAAAAAAGTACGTTTAATAACCTGTAAATCTATGAATCCATTTCGCTTTCTCCTGGAAGAAATACAGTTGTTTAACTTCAACATATTTCATTACTATTCCTTTTAGGTTAGATGTCTTCTAATTAACAAGATACTTCTTTTGTAATGCTGTTTTTGTCTAATTTTGTCTAATGAAATCAAAATATTTTCTTTGATCCTGATGAAATGATTTTGACTTCTCAACTTGATTGACAATTCACAGCGTTTATTTTCCCTTTGACTTGAGTTTCTAAAATTGTCAGCAAGCTCCAAATCACACCGTTTGCCTTTCAGTGGAAGCCTTGTTCCAGGAGCAAGCAAGTTCAGAAATGTGTTTAGCAAGGCAGGTTACTCAAGGGGATTCACCCAAGAAAATACAGATGTTTGCATGTGAGCTGGCTGCTGGCCCGTTATGGTCAGTGGAGAAATAAAGGCAAATTTAGAGTCGGGTTTGTCTCCCCGGGCGGTTGGTCTCCCCACACGCTGCCCATTTTTCCCCACTAACATGACCAAGGGCGACTGCTCAGGGGGAGGCCGCCCTTTCAGAGCATCCAAAAGCTGCTGTTGCTCTTTAGCCGGCATCTTGAGGGATGCGCATAAAGATGCAGCTGTATGAGCTTCCCCGCCTCAGTCCTCCCTTTGCTCCGGGCTGGAGCTGCTGTCGAGGGCCAGCAGCCTGCGCAGCCTGCGGCTTTGTGAGCCCCTCAACCCCTCCCGCTCCACCCC